TATACTCAACAAAAGGGACCGACAGAGATGTCAATAGTGCTGCATTTTGAGGTTTAACATATCTGAACACACAGGCAGGAATAAATATCTACCTCCACATGAACAGATGAGATTTATAAAGTTTATTGGACTCCTTTCACTCCAGAAAAAAACCAACTAAGAGCGGAGTGATATGACACGATGCTTAAAGGTGAATTAAACACTTTTATTAATCAATTTACTCGTGTTCATTGCCTCATTTCAAACATACTCATCAAACCTCACAATATACACATTAAACTAAGGACATATATTTTAAAACAGACCTTGTGCCTCGTACGGTGGCATTGAATAGATGTATAATCTATATATCCTGCATTTTGCATTCTGACAAGCTGTAAACACAAGCTGTGTGGGCATGCATGGTACCCTACTTTTAAAATAAGAGTGTCTCATTTATTTATATATATATATATATATATATATATATATATATATATATATATATATATATATATATATATATATATATATATATATATATATGTCTGTGTGTGTGTGTGTGTGTGTGTGTGTGTGTGTGTGTGTGTGTGTGTGTGTGTGTTTGTGTGTGTTTGTGTAGTATAAGTATAATACAAGCTTAAACTTAAAAATAAGAGGGAAATTAAATTTGATATGTTTCAATTGGAGAACATGCAAACTCCACACAGAAATGCCAACTGACCCAGCCGGGGCTCAAACCAGTGACCTTCTTGCTGTGAGTCAGTTGTACCCACTGTGCCACTGCGGCCCCTGTTCATGTTAATCTGTTTGGATAATAGTTTTATACTGTAGTGGTGTAGCAGCAGCTAATTTAATTAAAAGAATGTTTTATTCTTAAATCAATTCATGGTGATAACGTTAGAAAGGACTGTAGTTTGAACACTATTGCTGCCATCTACTGGACAAAAGCTCACATTTATTTTGAATATGCTTGTACAGTGGTCTGCTGTATGCTAGAGAAGTGTTAGATTTGATTAGGTTTTCTGTTTTGATTTAAATGATAAGTGACGGATGCAGCATCAGTCTTTTTATAGAGTTACTGGAAGCATTTAAAGCAAGGTGAATCCCACATAGCAGACGGACTTGGCCCAAATGTGGCCTCATTATGGCACTGTTGGCGTGTTGCTGGCACTGGCATGCATAATCTCAGCTGAATGTGGGCCATGCATGGCAATGATGGCTCTGCATGCATGATGGAAATCTACATTTGGGCCAGTTGTGGATGGGAGGAGTGTGGCCCAGATCAGATTGTTCACATTGTTTAGGTAACATTATAGATTATGGCTCGGTTTTGGTTAAAGTATAAACTTATGGCTGAGAATCGGTACCAACAAACCTGTTTTGGGCCAGTTAAGGGGGATAAATTGGCTGAGATTCAGGCCGGTTATGGCCCATGTGTGGCCCTTGTCTTTAATCCAGTTATGGGCCACTTCAGGACCGTCATTCTTTGAGGGACTTGGGCCAAGGGAAAAGTTATTGTGTGACCCGAAGCTGGGCCAGAAAACATTTGGTATGTGGGATATTTAATAACTCATTCATTCATTCATTCAATAGTTGGCGGTTCATTCCGCTGTGGACACCCTTGATGAATAAAGGAACTAAGCTAAAAAGAAAATGAACGAGTGAATGATTTGCACAAATAAATCATTCATAACAAATACTTCAACGTTAAAAATTCTGCCATCACTTACACTCCTTTCACTTGTTCCAGTTTGACTTTCTTTATATCCTGTTTAACTTTTTTCCTACTAAGGAAGTCAATGGTTACAGGTTTCTGCATTCTTCACAATATCAGAAACTCATGAAGGTGTATAGCCACTCGTAAGAGAGTGAAAGGTGAGTACATTTTTATTTTCTTGTCGGCTTAGTCCCTTTATTTAATCTGGGGTCACCACAGTGCAATGAACCGCCAACTTATCCAGCATATGTTTTACGCAGTGGATGCCCTTCCAGCTGCAACCCATCTCTGGGAAAGGAATCATTCATTTTCTTTTCATCCCTTCAATAATCAGGGGTCACCACAGTGGAATGACCCACCAACTAATCCAGCATTTGTTTTACGCAGCGAATGCTCTTTCAGCTGCAACCCACCTCTGGGAAACTAGGGTGAACTATCCCTTTAAATGTGTAATTGTCAAAAATACAGTGTAGTGGTACCAAAGTCAAACTAAATTCGGACCATTGGCTGAGCTGAGGCTGTAACTATGGATGGTTCAAACCAAGTCTCAAAGGTGATGTTCAAATCTTGAACATTATAGCTAATATCGCCACCTTCTGGAGCAACACAGTACCTTTTTAAGGATTCTTCCAGAATGACATCCAATTATAACAAGCCTCCTGCCTTTTCAAATCTGAAATGTTGTTTACTGTGTATTTAATGGCGTAATAATCATCACATGGTTCTGCACATCACTTTAGCTCTGGAGAATTGTGTTGGTGCTGTCCGTTCTCTCAGTTCTCAGGAAGTTAACTGTTTGTATTTATGTTATGCGTTATGACAATTCGTTTGATTTACACATGCCACCAAGGCAACATCCGAGCTAAGGTAGATGAGGTTTTCATGGGATCAGTGAGAATGATTTGTGAGTTGCCGTTGGCAAGCGCACATATACTACACATCTCTGCTCATGAAACACTAGCCAGAGTCCTCAGACTACAACTGGCATTTCAATTAGCGTGTGACAGCAGCTGCAGGCCTTCAGTCCGCATGACACTGAACCAGTGTTCTCAGACTCAAAGCCCTAATACAAACTGTAGGCTACACGAGCACAGGTGGACACTGAAGAGGTAATGCTTTGGAGAACTCGCACAGACACCGGTGAAGTAAAACACCTTTATTATTAGCATATTAGCAAGCTTACAAATATGTACAGGTTTTATTGCAAGCCTCACAGTCAACAGCTTTGTTTTCCCTGTGTGTGCTGTGACAATATATATATATACATATGTGCTCTCACCGGTCACTTTATTAGGTACACCTGTCCAACTGCTCGTTAATCAGCCAATCACATGGCAGCAGCTCACTGCATTTAGGCATGCAGACATGGTCAAGAGGATCTGCAGCAGCTCAAACTGAGCATCAGAATGAGGAAGAAAAGTGATTTACCTGACTTTGAACGTGGCATGGTTGTTGCTGCCAGACGGGCTGCTCTGAGTATTTCAGAAACTGCTGATCTACTGGGGAGATTTTCTTTGGCTCCATTAGTACCAATTGAGCATCAACGCCACAGCCTACCTGAGTATTGCTGCTGACCATGTCCATCCCTTTATGAGCACAGTGTCTCCATCTTCTGATGGCTACTTCCAGCAGGATAACGCAGCATGTCATAAAGCTCAATCATCTCAGACTGGTGAACATGACGATGAGTTCACTGTACTCAAATGGCCTCCACAGTCACCAGAGCTCAATCCAATAGAGCAGCTTTGGGATTTTTGTCTTAGAAACAAGACAAAACAATCTAAGTAAGAAAAGCATTATTGCAGTGTAGAAGCACAAAATCCTAACTATAAGCCTAAACTTGCCATAAACTGTACATTTATCCCTCAATTCTGATTGGCTGATTGAATTGTAGCGTAGATGTTGATGCAGGAACATGTCCTACTTGGTGAAATTACATTAACCCAATGCTTACTTGAGCTCAAGTTAGAATATTTTTACAATTATTTATTGTGTTAGACTGTTCAAAGAAAAAAAAAATACGGGAGTTTTCTGGGAGAAATATTAAAATGGGAGGGTGGCGGGAGATGGGTGTGAAATACGGGAGACCCCAGGGAGTGTTGGCAGGTATGGAGAGAGAAGGTAACTAGTGGGCGGGGCTTTCCCCATTTGATGACACGTACAATAGGAGAATGTCAATCAAAGTGTTTCTGCAGACTGTTTCTATCAAGTCTGATTATAAACAATAGAGTTAACAATTGTTTTACTATTAGAGGCTGTTTATATTCACACTGTTTCCACACAACAATGGTTAAAATAAATTAAAAATAAAAAAAAGTATATAAATAAGTATATTTTGGATAATAAGTCCCCTTTAAATAGCTGCTTTGGCTGACTTGTGAAGTAAAATATGAGAATGGTCGACAGATGGAACCATTGAGCTGAGCTTATCTCTGTCATGAGTAATGATAGACTGCGTGTTCAACATCACACGCCAACCAATCTCTGTTTCTTCCCTTAATGTTTCCCAGTCCAGCTTTGTGGAACTAAATTGCATTAAAAAGGACAGAAGAATCAAGATTAATGAACTTAAAGGGATAGCTGACCCCCCAAAATGAAACTTCTGTCATAATTTACTCACCCAAGAGCTTCAACTTGTACTCAAAAGAAGATATTTTGAAGAATGGTGAAACCTGTAACCATTGACGTCCATATTTGTTTTTCCTACTATGGAAGTCCATGGTTACAGGCAATTTGAACAATTGTATTTGATATATTTATATTAGAAATGTCTTTTTTTAAGTGTATAGTCTAAAAGCAGCTTATTTACAAGAGTAAGACAGACAACAGCTGGCGACTGGTGTAAACAGTAAGTTAGAATGTTAAAACTCCCCTAAGTTTCTCTATTAATGCACAGACATGGTTGGACTTTGCATACTATCTAAAGGACGAATCATTCCTAACTTCTACTAGCAAACATGGAGCTTAAAATATGCCAAAACAACCTGCATTTGAATTGTGTTAATTTAATAACAGTTGGAATGTTATATGCCATTATTAAAATTGCTTAATATTGGAATTCCTTAACTTGAAGACAAACAAACACGATAAAAACACGACAAATCTGAACGCAGAGCCGCGGACTCATGTGTCAGAGTCGCCCGGCGTGTTCAGACCCCCGCCTACTATCCTGTTTACAAACCCCAGGGCTGGGGTTGATTGACAGCTTCCTAAGCCAATGAAATGCTCGGGCTTGTTGTCGAATGTGATATACAGTAATTCCATTGGCCGGAGGAGCTGTCAATCAAACGCGCAGCGCCATTGAGTTTCATTGTGCTGCCGCTGCGCCATCACCAGCCAGCCGCTAGTAGCAGTGAATGATATCCCGTTGAAAACGCTGTTTACTTCGGTCGTCTGATACTCTTTATAGCACCGCGGAGATCTGTGTGAATAATTTGTGTACGATGGAAAACATCAGCAGAGGACTTTAAGAGATTATCCGGGTGAGTGTAGTGTTATTCTGGTGGTTTACACTGATTGCAGATGGAAGCGTGGCTCAGCATCCATTGCATTTCTATACATGCCCTCATTCTCCACTGATATAAACGTGTATTGATGAAGTCTGTGTGACGGGATTTGGCCTAATGGTGCTGCAGCTGTGGTGTTTGTTGTTGTATGCTGTGATTTCAGCAGACTGTAGTAGACAGTTAATGTTGCAGACGTGTTTAGATGCGGCCGATGTGTAGTTCGCTCAGTTATTCTGCTGTGTCTGCATAAAGCTCCTGCCCGCATCCTTCACTCTTCAGCAGCTCGATATGTGATGATGGGCGATTCCAGAACTGCATGATATACATTTAGTGTCCAAAAGCCATCATTTTAAGTCATTCAAAGATGGTTAGACATGTTACTTATTTTCATAGATTACGTTACATGCCATAACAATACAACATCTACATTAAAAAGTGTCTTAATTGAGGTAAAGTTGGTTTTATATTCTTTAAGAATATAATTTCAGATTTGTTTGCTAATTTTAAATAGGTAAATATTAGCAGCCAACGACTAGCATTGTTCACTATCAATTAAACAGTGCTGCTAATGTTGTTTTAAATTAATATATATATATATATATATATATATATATATATATATATATATGATTTCAGACTGAAAATCCAGACTTTTTACTTAATAATATAATTTCCAAAATGTATTGTTCGCTAATTTTAAATATTAGCAGTCAATGACTAGCAAAGCGCAACATTGTTCACTGTCAAGTGCAGCTAGTGTTGTGTTGGTGTCATATTACTGAAAATCCAGTATACCATGGTGAACAAATTGAGTTAAAGTTGTTTTTTGTGTGTGCATATTTAGACTTTATCCTTGATATCTTTTCAGAATTGTATTGTTTGCTTTTTTAAATGTTAGGCGTAAACGACTAGCAAAGCGCAACATTGTTCACTGTCAATTAAACAGTGCTGTTAATGCTGTGTTGATGTCATATTACTGAATATCCAATTTACCATGTCGAACAAATTGAGTTGAAGTTGGTTTTATATTCGCACTTAATAGTATAGCTTCAGATTTGTTTGCTAATTTTAAATAGGAAAAAATTAGCAGCCAATGACTAGCAAATCACAACATTGTTCACTGTCAATTAAACAGTGCTGCTAATGTTGTTTTTGAAGTCATATTTACATGATTTCAGACCAAATATTCAGTATGCCATGCTGAACAAATTGAGGTTTTTGCACATTTAGGCTTTTTTCTTAGTAATATAATTTCAGAAAAGTATTGTTTGCTAATTCTAAATACTGTAAGATATTATTACCAGCCAATGACTGCGAAAATAGTCAATGAAGTAGTGCTAATGTTGTTTTAAAGCAGGGCTGCCCAAACTTTTTCCTATAAAGGGCCAAAAAGCAAACTTGATTGAGGGATTGCTATATAACTAAAACCATATATATTAAATTTGCCATGGGTAATTTTCTAATTGATTTAATAATATATAAAAAAATAACTAGAAAGCATTGCTTTAAACCAAATTGACTAATGCAGTATCATTTTAAATGAACTTATCACTGTAAAACATGAACAATTTAGTTTATTACACAAGAACACACTGGTCAGGCTTACTTTGATTTGCTCACAGATGTTTTGTGCATCTGTAAAGTGACACTGTTTACATTTTAAAAGTCTGATTCATTTACAGTATTTTATTGAATCGTTTAATTTCAGTAGGCTTTTTTTGTTGCTCAGTCGTAAAACAGAGAAGCAAAAGGTTACATTAAATTCGAAATGACGATCACTGTCAAAGGCATTCGCCCCAACCACCTCCCCATCATCCTCCCTCTCTTTTCAGCTGGGATGATGGGCCAAATCAAAGGTCACCATGGGCCAACTTTAGCCCTACTTTGAGCATCTCAGTTTTAAAGTCATATTTACATGTGATTTCAGACATATTATCTAATATTCCATGCTGAAAAAAGTGAGGTAAAGTTGGTTTTATATTCAGACTTTCTGCTTAATGATGTAATTTCAGAAAAGAGTCCCTTTGCTAATTCTAAATAGTGAAATCCTATTAGCAGCCAATGACTGTCAAAGCACAGCATTGTTCACAGACAGTTAAATAGTGCTAATGTTGTTTTGATTTACATGTGATTTCAGACCCAATATTAAAAGTAAACAATATATTGAGCGTGTCACAAGTTGTCACTGAACAAATGTGCAAATATAAACCCAGCATTACCTCAGTATTTGTTTCAGCTTTTTAAAGTTGGTTAGAATTTTGATTATTTACAAAATAAGTTATTTTCATAGATCACAAAATGCCATAACCATACAATATTTACAGTAAATGTGTCTTTTTTTTAATGTGCGAATTAGTCTATTTTTCACCGTGTGCATTGTCTAAACGAACTGTTGACTTTTCTTTTGGTGATTATTAAATTGATTTGTATATATAAAGCTCTATGCTATAGTTCTACAACATTAAGTTGCTTAAAAATAACTATTTTCTAACAGTAATGTGTGTCTGTGTGAATTTTGCATCAATTCTGTTGTTGAGGTGAATAGGGCTGGTTCATTTGGACTATAATCAAAATCTCAAATAATTAAACATTTTACCTCTCTTCTAAATATTTTATTTAAAATTGTCCTGCCCCAAAACAAGCAATTAATAAACTATAATCCAGACTCAGCATTGCATATGTTGTGTTGTGAATGATCAAGTTGCGATATCAATGCTAAAACGATATATTGAGCCGCCCTATAGTGCGCCACTAGTCGCCATCTACTGGCAAAACCCAGAGTCACTGAAAAACGTTCTCGTCACACTGAACATGTATATAGAGTTCTGCAAACACACACAAGAAGCAAAGCCAATTTGGAGAAGTCATCGTTCTGTTGGGGTTTGGTTGCCCTATTGACCTCAGTCTTCACGTGCGTTGGAATCTTTTTGGGTTGAGACTTCCAGTCTCATTCAGTTCATTGACTTTCAGACATTAAAAACAGCTTGTTATGGTGTTTGATGTTGTGAACTGATATTTTCATATTATATTAAACTACTTTTCATGTATATTCATGTTTGCAGAGTGAGTAGTTTGACCATTATCTGCCGCTTATTATTTCTAGTCATTTCTCCCATTGGTGACTGAATCAGACGTTCTTGGACAATTACAAAAACGAGCGCACTCCCACATCGCAGAATAAGGTCAATACTGTATGTAAAACTATTGCTGGCTCAAAATGTCCTAAACAACCCTTGCTTAGAGTCTCTTTCATAGCAGTTGGTGTAAGGATTCTCTGGAAGTACAGTATACAACTACATTATATCGCACATGACTACGCTTATTGCCTTTCAATTCGACTGATCACTCTGGAACCACAGAATCAGTTTCAATATATCTCGACACTAGTGCATTGTGCTGTTTCTCTTTGATCGTAATATACTGGATGGTTAGAGACACTGAGATTCTAATGCGTCTGATCTTTAAAAGAGGCTTGTGAACATCATGTGCTCATCACACACACATGAGCCAAAATGGCATGTAGGTGGTAGTCTCATTAGGCTTAAGGACATGTTTCTTCTTCATTTTAGAAAATAATAGCTCCGCTTGCTGTTAAATTTGATATTTGGAAGGAGAGTTATTCACAATAACCAATATATGGACTTATCGCACAACACATGGACATGACCTCAATCATTTTTGATGATGCAATAGATATCGCCCGTACATAAACACCAATTCTAGCCAGATTTTAGCTGATTGTGCAACATCTCTATCTCTATTGGAGGTGTCAGTGTCAGTATGGGTAATAAAACACACGTCTGACAGCTGAAAATAGATCTGGGAGCAGATATCGCAGCCTCTGTTACTCTTTACCTTGCACTTTATTGTTAAAATTTAGTATTATTTATTTAGGATATGCATTTTCACATTCTGACTCCAATGCCTGATTAATAAACTGTTTAAATGACTATGATTAAATGAAATATTCTTCAGAATGAAATATGATGTGTTCTTTGGAAGAGTGTACACTCAGAAATAAAGGTACAGGAGCTGTCTCTAGGGCAGAACCTTTTCAAAAGGTACATGTTTGTCCATAATGGTACCCTAAAAGTACTTTTTAGGAACATTGGGGTACTAATATGCACCTTTGATGTACCATTGTTGACTCTTTGGGTGCAAATATGAACCTTCCTTGTGCAAAGGATCATGAGTTCCTGAAGTGTCGCCTTCATTTGGTAGAGCCCTTTGAAATGGCCAGTTTTGAGCACTTTGGTTTGGAATGACACTTTAATATGGCGCACACTTTTATGTTTGCTCTGAAGTGCCCTTGGGAAGGCTAAATATTCTGTATTCTGATGATGTGAGATAAACTGTGGGCTGTTGGTCCCCAAGTTCCAAACTGTATGTTTTTCCTTAAATCACTGAGGAACATTAGGACACATTTCTCAGAACATTAGGGCTAGAGTTAGAATTAGTTTGGTTTCAGCTACCTAAATCAGCTTATTAAGACAGGCTTCAGAATCACACCCCAAAACGGGGAGCGATGAATCACTGTTTTAGCTGTATGACTGCACCATCTCTTGAGTTTTGCTATATCTGCACGGATGATACAAGAAGTTCAGAAGTGTAACGTGAACTTCTGTAAAGTCAAGTGTTTCTGATTAACTCATGAATGTCTTAAGAGGACAAACAATGTCTTGGCACAGAGTGGTTTTATATTATATCATGCATTCTGATAGATTATTGTGGGAATTTAAACTCCAAAGTCATGTATGCCAAAGTATGGGGTTCTGCTGGGCCATCTGAGCAACAGTGGCAAATATAATATAAAAAATACACCTCTTCCCACGCAAGTTGACGGGAGAATGTGTTCACTTTTAGTAAGCTGTTTGTATGCAAATATTCTGAGCCTTAGAATCATCCTGATTGAGTTATTGGAAAGTAATGCACACCCAAGGTGCTGATGTTGTTCTATTCATGCAGTGGCCTGTTTT